CTTTGAAAAGCACTTTTGATGAGATCTGAATCATCTATCTGGATGGTGAGGGATCAGAGAGAAGAGCGAGCTGCAGACAACCCTGCATTTTTTTTTTGCTTGCTTGGGGACCTAAGGAGACAGCGACACCATTAACTGAGACCTTGAATGCAGACACACTGGCGTTGCATTTATGTTCTGCTCTGCAGAGCTGGTGTTCAGCCACTTCTCCAGCATAGCTGGGAGATGTAACAAGCAGAATCATGTATCATCTTCTATATAGGACTTATTGATAGATTGTAGCAAAGACTCTCAATGGAATTTGGAACATTGCCTGTTTGATTTTCTATTTGTAGGGCAGTGAAGTATTAAATATACATGTAGCTTTAGGATAGCAAGAAATATAAGCGTATACTTGATTGACTCCTTATTTGGGAATTAGTCCCTGACACCCACTCTAAAGAAGACAGATCAGGCCCAGCCTTCAGGGAGCTTGTGGTCAGGTAAGGGTGATAGACAATAAATAAGGAATGGGAAAATTAGACAGCAAAAAGTGCTATGAAGAAGATAAATGGGTAGAACATGATGGTGCAGGGTCCAGGTAACACAGGGTCTTGTAAGACATGGAAGGTGCTCAATTTTTATTCCAGCTGTGATAGAGAGAAATTGATGAATTTTGAGCAAGGGGGGGGGGTGTCGACTCAAAAAAAGTGACTAAGGTATAGATCTCAGTCAATGGAGGTTTATTAAGCCAAAGTTGAGGACGTGCTCAGGAAAAACACAGACCACAGACTAATCTGTGGCTGTTTTTCCAAAAGGGAATTTGGGAGTTTCAGTATTTAAAGAGGGGTAGGACAGACAGAAAGAAAAAAAGGCAGGGGCACTGGGAGTAGTGAGACAACATGGTTACATTCTCAAGAGACCCAGGAAAATCTATCTATAAGATAAGGCGAATGTTAGAAGAGAAAAAGGGAGTGAAGAAAACATCAATTATATAGATGTTCCTGGGTAGGTGGAAGGATGTCTGATTCCATCTTGTCTCTGTCCTGCACCTGTGAAGATAAACGTGCAATGCATTATTAGTGTGGAATAGAACAGACTTTAGTTTTGGGAGACACATGTAGCCTGCAGACCCTCAAGTTACAATCTGCACAGCCTTGCTATGAGAAGCCAGCAAGGAGTTTCCTTAGTGAATGGTCTGCAGCCGGTCCTTCACAGATGCCTGAGGCCTTTACCTTTTCTTTGGCATAAGGAGTTGCTGGGGTGGTCCTGAGATTTTTATTTTCTTGTACAGGAGTCAGATGGCCAGAGGCAAAGGGCGATGGCAGCTTAACCGAAGGTACACTGGAGGCAAAGAAAAGTAGGAAGAAATCGAAATATATTTTGAGAAAAGCTAGCAGAGTTGTTGATGGAGAAGAGAGAGGAAAAGGGAGAAACCAAAGATGACCCCATAGGGTGCTAGTTTGAACAACTGGATAAACAGTGCTATCATTTCCTAACACGGCAACAGGAGGAGGAACAGGTGTTGAAGGAAAATGATAACCAAACACAGGTATGTCTATGTATGTGTAAGCACATTATCGAATACTAGTGCTCTGGGCTGGGATTTTAAAAGCTTGATTTGTGTCGCCACTAAGAGCAATAACTTCTCTGCATCTTGTTTTTCCCCATCTGCAACTTGGGGATAATCGTATCTGTCTTTACTGTTTCACAGGGATGCTGAGAAGATAAATGCGATCATATACATAGAAGTAATTTGAAGTCTCAGGAAGATAAGAACTCTATAAATCTAAACTGTCATTATCACATCACAGGGTGTGTTTATATTTTTCATGGATCTACTCAAGGTCACAGGGGTCACATGAATAGCATGCTTACATTTTTTGCTTCATGTTCAGTTCCCAGAAATGAAAAGACGAACATGCTTCTCTCTCCCCCGCTGTGCCTTCCCCTATAACATTCTCTTGACAGGATTTCACAATTACTAGCATTATCCCAGACTTTTTTAAGACCACAGGAAGTGAGAACTTTACTCAGAATAGCTCTGCCTGTGTGGTTCTTGGCAGATAATGATGATATCTTACTTTATTAACAGAGATGTACAAAGAACCAGCGTGTTGTCTCCTATAATTGTCCAACACCTCTATGAGAGGTGTTACTTTTATTACCATTTGACAGACAGAAAGGGGCTCAAGAAGTTGCAGTAACTTGCCTAAGACTTCATTTTACAGCTGGAGTAGCTGAAATTAACAAAAGAGCTGTATTCTAAAAAATACAGCGAACACGAACATGCAGGAGCGGTATTCAAAGATCTGCAGCCATGTCCCAGCTGACATCCATGGGATGTGGGCTGGCTTCTTTGGTCACTGCAGTCTCGGGACATGTTATCTTCAGTCCTTTGAAAACAGATGTGACTACTGATTTTCTTGCCTAGAGTTTCAAAAGTGGCACCATTCTGCCTAGGATCTTGTGTGCTGCTCTCTCTCTAAAAACAAAAAAAACAGCATAAGAACAAAACAAAAATTGTCCCTGGTTCTCCAGAGTAATCCCATGATTAAGTTTCTTCTTTCCCTTGGGAAGAGAGACACTGCTCAGCTCTGTCTGGGATGGCGATATGATGGTCATGTGCACAAGAGTGGGCCTTGGCCAGGTGGAAAGAACACTGGATGTGGAATTCAGAAAGCTGGGGTTGAGTTTCGATTCAACATTACTTATTGTGTATGACTTGGGAAGGAAGTTAACCTATTTGAGATTCAGTTTTAATAACTGTAAACTGGATGCATTAATAAATCCTTATCTGTTTACTGACTGTAATCTCCTAATAAGCCTTACCTGCATCCCCACAGTTTCAGATGCACAACCAAGCAGTCTCATCCAGGTTGCCTTGTTTACAAATTGGATTAGAAATTCTCCATTCCATTCATTCCTTCCCTTGGCTTTCTCAGCTCGAATGCCTGTGTATTTGCTCACTTTTAATGGAGGGGAAGTGGGATATTATTTTTGGTGTTGATGCATTATGACTCTCAGCATATCAATCTATCTAGAACAAAGCTGAGGAAAGATGGTGGAGGGTGGCTGTGAGAATGGAATTTCGGCATGCAAGATGTTCAGCACAGTGCCTGGCTTACAGAGAGCGACAATTTTTAGCTGTTATAATTTTTTCACATTTAGGAGATCCTTATTTGTCCTGAATGATTTAGCTGTGGCCCTTGCTGGCGGCGGCGGAGGAGGATCTGAGACTCCTCTCGACATTGTCAGCCGGGTTGGTGGCTGGGCAGGAATTTCTTGCACAATCTCCATTTAAGCCTTTCTTCTTATTTCCACCTAGTTTCTGCCCACTGCTGAGGAAGGGCAGGTACTTGGGATCACTTTTTGTACACTGATGGTTAAATGCAAATAAAATAATAACAACTTTAGGTCAGTGACAACATTTTAACTTGTTTTTCCTCCAAATCGAGTCTGGAAAAGCCTCAGAGCCTGTGGACGTGTTTTCAACACCACACCTGAGCGTGCAGGTGCGCGCCTGGGGCGACCGAGCAGAGACGGAAGAGCCTGCGGGCGCCCCCACCCGGGCCCGGGCTGCACTTCTCCCCCGGGGCCGGGCCGGAGCCCCGCGCACCCCGCCGTCTCCCAGCCCCCTGCGCTCCGGTCTGAGCTTCTGGGGGTTCGCGTCCCGGTGCCGCCGGGGCGCGGGCGGCGGGCAGCGAGGCTGGGCGGCGGCCGCTGAGCTGCCCCGCCGGCGCGACGGCCTCCCGGACCTCGGGTCACCGCGCCGCGACTCCGCCAAGTGCGCGCCCGGGCCGGTCCCCGCGCCTTCCCGCCCCCGCGCCGAGGCGGGTCCCGCCGGGAGGGCCGCCCGGCCGTCGGGGCCGCAGGGCAGGAGCGGGACGCGGCGGGCCTCGCCCCAGGATCCCTCCTGCCGCCCGCGCCGCCGCCCCCGCCTGCCATTTTCCGGGTGCATTTTCCTCAGGGAGAAGGTGTCTGTCCCCAGACCTTCCTCCTCGCGGCCCCGCAGAGCCCCGCTCCCCGGACGCCGGGCCTCGCCGCGTCTCCGCCGCCCGCGTCGCGCCCCTGCGGTCGGGCGGGCCGGCGCGCAGGTACCTCAGAGCGGCGGCGGCGGCTCCCGGGGGACGTGCCGCGCCCGCCCCGGGGGGAGGCGCTGTGGCGCGGGCCGCCCCCTTGCGCCCCGGGCGCCGGCTGCGGCTCGGCCTCCTCCTCTTCCTCCTCCTCCTCCTCCTCCTCCGCCCTCCTCGGCCGGGAGCGGCGGCGTGGTGCGCGCGAGGGGGCGGCAGCGAGGAGCTCCGGGGCCGCCGCCGCGTCAGAGGCACCGCGAGCGCCGGGCGCGGCGGGGCCGCATCCGCATCTGCCTCAGCCGCCGCCGCCGCCGCGGGGCCGCGAACAAAGAGGAGGAGCCGAGGCGCGAGGTAGGGCGGGCGCGGGCGGCGGGGACCCGGGGTCCGCGGGCCGGACGCGGAGGAGGCGGTGGCCCGGCGGCCCCGGTCCCCGCGCCGGCCAGTCTCCCAGTCCCCTCGGCCCCCGGGGGCCGGCGGCGCGGAACCCGCGGCCTCTGGCGTCCTCGGGCAGGAAGCTGCGGGGCGCGGGGCCGCGGTCTCCCGGGCGCAGCCGGGCGCCGCTCCCGGTGGCCCGGTCTCCCCGGGGACTCGTCTCCGCGGGCTCCAGCCCTGCTGCTCCGCGGGGCTGAGTTTCGCAACTTGGGGCTGCGCGTTTATTTTAAGTCCTTGAAAACTTCCAGCAGTCGTGTGGGGGCATTTTCGTCCCCCCGCCCGACCTAGGCGGGGGCGAGGCCGTAGGATGGGCGCCCCGCTCCGGACCGGCGGGCCGCAGCCCAGCCCGCGGCGCCCCGCGCGGACACCCGGCCCGGTGTGCGCGGCGCGGCCGGGCTACCTGCGCCGGGCGCGGGAGGGGGCGCCGCCGGCTGCTCCGCGCGCGTCCTGGCCGCCGTCGGCGCTCCGGCCCTCCGCGCCCTTCCCGGCGCCGCGTCTGCGCCGCGCCCGGTGGGCAGAGCCGGTCGCGTTTTCCTGAATGGCCCCGCGTCCGCCTCAGGCTCACGGCGTTCAGCCCAGCATTCCATTGTCACATTCTTTGCTGTTAATTTCGCCAGGTTTTTCTGAATGGGATGAGGACAGAAATCTGTTCTGAAATCTGTTGCAGAGTTTGTCAGCCGCTGCCCTGAAGGGTGCTTTTTTTTATTTTTTTATTTATTTTTTTATAGTTTAGCTGCTTTCAACAAGCAAATCTGTGCCCTTTAGGACTGTCAACCTTCAGCTCTTTTTTTCGGTTGGGCAAGATGAAACAGTTCTATTTTTAAGACCAGTGAAGACACATATGTATTTAATATTGGGATCGTTTACCGCAAGCGGTCCTACGAGGCGTGGTTTCTTAAGCGCTCAAGTGGCTTAAAAATTGGGAGCCTTAAAAATTGGGAACCTGGTTGGATTTAATAGTGGTTTCAGGTAGAGGAAACTTTCAATTGCTTCTGTTCAGCTTCTCATGTTGAGTGGAGGGCTTTATTCAGGCAGCTGATATCCCTTTCGGAGCTTAAGAAATTATGTTCTTTATTGCATTTCATAAATCCTGTATATTAGAGGAATCCTGTTGAACACTTGGTAGCTAGCTACTCCTGCCCAGATATCTTCAGGGGTTAATTCTGCATTGTTTGGAAAGCCCATTTTCTTTTTAATTGTTGACTTAGGAGTGTAGGAACCACATTCCAAAGCAAAGCTACACTATTCAGGGAGGGAGCATTTTGTGTCCTTTTTGGTTCTTGGTTCCTTTGTGAACTTTTCCCCCAGATAACAACACTAATTCTCTCTTTTTCTCTTCTTCCCTCATGACTCTAGAGCAAAGTCTGAAATGGATGTTACATGAATCATTTTAAGGGATGCACACAACTATGAACATTTCTGAAGCCTTTTTCTCAGTAAAGTAGATAAAGATGGATGAATCTGCCTTGTTGGATCTTTTGGAGTGTCCCGTGTGTCTGGAGCGCCTTGATGCTTCTGCGAAGGTCTTGCCTTGCCAGCACACGTTTTGCAAACGCTGTTTGCTGGGGATCGTAGGTTCTCGAAATGAACTCAGATGTCCCGAGTGCAGGACTCTCGTTGGCTCGGGTGTGGAGGAGCTCCCCAGTAACATCCTGCTGGTCAGACTTCTGGATGGCATCAAGCAGAGGCCTTGGAAACCTGGCCCTGGTGGGGGCAGTGGGACCAACTGCACAAATGCATTAAGGGCTCAGAGCAGCACGGTGGCTAATTGTAGCTCAAAAGATCTGCAGAGCTCCCAGGGTGGACAGCAGCCTCGGGTGCAAGCTTGGAGCCCCCCAGTGAGGGTGAGTAACCTGCCGGGGCAGTTTGGGGAGTGAGGGTAGTTATTATGTCCACAGTTTTTTCTTTATTCCTTAGCTTGATGTGTTCTAAATCAGCTCATTGCTTAAGAAGCCTCCCTTACTAGAACAGATAGGAGATTATACCTCTGGATCTTTTTTCTTCTGTCTTGGAATGAGATGGGATATAAATAATGAATTTTCTTGTTTTGAAAATTCTCTCCAGATAGTCTCTGTTATCTTTAAAGATAAATTTTGGGAAACATGTAGCAACTATTCAATGAAATCTAAAACATAGCAGTTGTTTTGTGCCCATTTTTAAGTGGAAATCTGGCATGGTTTTGCCCTTTTGATGGAGTTGAGTATAATTACATATATGTGTGTGGTACATATGTGTGTATATGTTATAAATATGTGTGGGTGAATTCATAAGTTGGAAATCAAGACTTAATTTTTGTGTTGCTTAGAGTCATTCTGTTGGTTTTATGAATGCACAGCACAGAATTTACTCGTTGGAAGAATTCTTAACAAATCATGGCCATAGGTAGCAGAGTTCTGTTGCTGTAGCAACAAAGTGTCACTTAGGACTATGCTAAAACATCCAGCTTTATGTGGGATTTTACAATGAGTGAAATAAAATATTTTCATCAAAATCATTTTTCTTGGGATTTGGGCTTGGGCTGAAATAATTTTAGATGAAGCTAATTATTTGGCCAGCTGCTATAGCTGACACACAGAGTTTCCAGAAGGTAAGGTATTCCAAGTCAATATAAATTATGTTGCTGGTGATGGCTCCCTGATAAGATGTGCTTCTCTCATATTTCTAAAACTAAAAAGTAGTCCTGGGCATCAGATGATTAAAACAATTCCATTTGTGTTGGAGGAAGCAGTGTTGACAGTTGGCCAAACTGGTAAAATCTACTTTTAAAGAGCAGTTTATCTGGATGAGAGTATTTTTTTTCAAGTATTCATAGTAAACACTCAAAACTGACTTCATTTAATATAGGAACTACACATTGGGATGACATTAGGCAGCATAAATTCACAGATGTTGATGTCAGACGACTGTAACAGAGGAGTTTCCCCTCCTCCTTTCTCCAGCTCATCTTTTACAAATGACAAAAGTATTTACTATCTCTAGATGTAAAGTATGTAAAAGCATTTTAATCACTAGAAAACAGTTTCATCACTAGGCTTTCCGGTTTCTTTTGACATATTTAATTTTTTTTTTTTTTTTTTTTTTTAAGATAGGGAGACCTTTGGGTTAGGGAGGTTTTCTTTCTTTATTTGGAGCCCGCATGTTGGGAAATGGATGTGCTTACAACACTGGTGTTAGACTGCTTTTGTTTTGTGTAGTTGACTGGTGCCTTGATTAGTGTGTATGGACTTATGAATATTTTAACCTCAGCACCAGCGATCAAGTTGATAATTTCTGAGACACCTGACCCAGGTCTGCTTAGCTTAATAATGGGGTAGATTTGCATGTTTGGAGAGGTTTTGTTTCCCTGTTAATTAGACTAGTGAAGGCATAGCTTCTGGCTATGAATAGGAATTCTGTGTCTTAGTTGTTGACACGGTTGCCTTACCTGTTGTAAGGAATGCATTGAATGTTTGAACACCGATAGAAGGAATTTAAGGGAAAACTCAAGCATTCCACTTAATGTCCTTTGAAAGCAGAAATTGACTGTGTAATGCCACTTACCTGAATTCTCATTTAACTGCTAAGCTCCCAAAGTTGAACTTTACTTTTCTTAGGTGAATTATTTGGAGATTTTGATCATATCAGTATTATTTTTCTGGTTTATATGATTTTCTTAATCGACTTCATGCTGCTGCTTTAGCATGAGGATAATTACTTGCCAAGAAGCTCAACTGACTTGAGCCTTATAGCAAGGATAAAATAATCGAGGTGGATAAAGCAGGAGCTGGGGGAGGGTGGAGGACAAAACCAAAACTATTTAGTAGTCTGCCTTGATGCAAATGATGTAATACTTATAAAAAGAACAGCCTTTTTTTTTTTCTGGTCTAAAATAGTTTCCCAAGCCAGGCACAGTGGTGCATGCCTGTAGTTCCAGCTACCTGGGAGGCTGAGGCAGAAAGATCATTTGAGCCCAGGAATTGGAGGCCAGCCTGGGCAACATAGTGAGACCCTGTCTCTTAAAAAAAAAGTTTCTTATTAGCAGTTATGAGTACCTTTTGCTTTCTTTTATTCAGAACAACCAGGGCTATGTATATAGTTCAAGTATTGGAAAGATAAATACATCTATCTCTAAAAAGTACTCCTTGTAAAAGTGAGGACTCTGTAACATACAGCCACATGGAGATTGTAATGCACTCTTTCAGACACTTCCTGATGTGAGTGACTATAAAATGAATCCCGAAGGTGCATGCACCTCCTTTATATGTTCTGACATGACCAAGTGGTGCAATAAGCCTGTTTCCACATGTTGTGCAAAGCTGAAAGTGATAACAAGTGGAATGCTGCTTCAGTTTATTAGTTAAGTTCTGTGTTCCACTGGATTGTGACCATGTGGCTTCCTCATGCATTTAGCCGAGGTAGGATGAATGTTATCAGCAGATTTGAACATTTCCAATGTGTGACACACATCTTGTTCCCAGAATTTTAGTGTTTCCTGCCTAATGTGGAGGAGAAAGGGAAAGAAGGTGGGATTGGAGTCACCATGGAAATCTGCCAGGTCTTCACCTCTAAGAATTCCTCTTGGTTTTAGGCCAGAGTCAAGTGGCAGAATGAGCCACTGGGAGAGGGCACTGCAGACACCTGTCAATGGACTACAGAGTGTAGCCACCAGAGATAAAATGCACACGTGTGTGTATGTAAGAATTGCATATGGAAAAATAGTTCCTATAGAATTGTGACCTATGGAGTAAATTTCTGCTTTCTAAGTGTAGTAACATTGGTTTAAGATCTAACACCTGTGCATGTGTCTATTTAGACATCATTACTTAATGATTGCATGCTGCCATCACCTCAAAGTGAATTTATTAATCAAAAACAGATCACATGACCCCTGATTTACACTAATTTATACTTCATTTATTCTTTGCTTTATTTACCAAGTATTTATTAAGCATTAGCCAGGTGCTAGGCACCATACCAGCTGCTGCTAAGTGATAGGTAATCATGGGCAAACCAGCTGCAGATGTAGAGTTTTTGAATCCTTGGTCAGTTTTGTGGGACAGACACATCGATAACATAGTAACCGTGCAAGTATGCAACTAAGTAAGTTCTACTACAGAGAACTAGGGGAGAGGATAGGAGGACTGTGTCTAGGGTGAGGGTAAATTGTGTGTGTGTGGTCTTCAAAATCTTCCTTGAGGAAGAGGCCTTTGAGCTGGGATCTTAAGGGTGAAATGATACTAATTAAGTGAATGGGGCCTGGGCAGGGGAAGGAGCAGAGGGAAAGAATGTTCTGAAGTCCAGGACCTACAGTAGGAAGGGACATGGTGCTAGGAGGAGCCGACGGAGGATGAGTGTGAACTAAGCAAGACATAGGGATGGTGACATAAGACAAAGCCCCAGTGTGCAGGTATAGAAGGCATCAGAGACCACAAGGGCCACATGGGGCAAAGGGCCAGATGCGGGGTATAGGTTGCAAGTGCTCTCTGGCTATGGGAGACACACATTTTCTTCTGCAAATGCCGAGTATGCTTTCATTTCTTCATAGTCACCATCATGCCTTCTTTCTCTCCCTTTCCCTATTGCTGACTGTTATGGGCTGGATTGTTTCTCTCAAATCCTTGTGTTGAAGTCCTAACTCCTAGTACCTCAGAATGTGACTCTATTTGGGGATAAGGCCTTTTAAGATATAGTTAAGGTAAAATGAGGTCACATGTGTGGGCCTTAGTCCAATATGATTGGTGTCCTTGTAAGAGGAGGGGATTAGGACAGAGAGACACAGGGAAGACCATGTGAAGACACATGCAGAAGACAGCTTCCTCCCAACCAAGGAGAGAGGCCTTCAGAAGAAATCAGTCCTGCCAACACCTTCATCTTGGACTTCCAGCCTCCAGAACTATGAGGAAACACATTTCTGTTGTTTCAGTCACCCAGGCTGTGTGCTTTGTTATGGGAGCCCGAGCAGACCAATAAGTGACCACGGGCATGCTCCTAAGGGTCAGACCCTGAGTGACCTCCGGGTCCACTGCCAGTCCCTTCAGCGCTAGTTTCCCCACACGCTGGCAGCAGTCCAGCCTTCTGTGCGTAGCGAGGTGGACCCTTGAGAGGTTGTTCAGTCCCTCCCCACCCTCTTACCTGCCCAAGCTGCCTGGCATAGTTTTGTAAAACAGACAGGCATGTTATAGGAAAGTTGAGGTTTATGTGACCATACACCAGAAACACAGAAAGGTTTGGGGTAGAGGGAAGGAAGTATTGGGAGGGGAGAACTGCTGCTGCCTTCTTATCCCTAGCAAGCTGGATTCTTCTGTAGCAGGAGTCTGGAGAAGGTGCTTTGCAGGACTTAGTGGTGCCTAAGGCATTACTCAGAGGAAGAAAGGCAGCCGGGAGAGAATTGAGGGACAGTGGAGAGAAAGGCAAGACGGGGAGTTGGTCAGGTGGGGTGCAGAAGGCCGTCTTTGACAGAGAGAGGAAGTACCTGTGGAGAGCTGCTTTCAGGCTCGGGTCTGTGCCGTAATCTCTACTAGGACAAAGGGGGCATTCGTGCATGTTTCTGTCCAAGAAGTTTACATTGGTAAGACACACAAGAAACAGCAAGTAAGGCAGCCTATGGTGAAGCACCAAGCGGTGGGATGGGGTGCAGAGTAAGTCTCTATGACGAAGTTCCTGGTGGTGTTCGGCTCTGTGGTCCTTGGATCCAGTGCATGGAGAGAGGACAGACCAAGTGTGGATGAGAGTGGCAGGACCTGCCACTGTGGAGTGGAAGGTTCAGCACAAACACGGACTGTCAGAGGAGTTGCAGAGAGGGGAACAAGGATCTGTAGTCACTTACTGGACCTAAGCAAGACATTTACCGTGGTGGTTTGGATGA